TCTCGCCTCGCCCGCGCTCGGTTGCCACCCACGCCGCGCGCTCGCACACCCCTCAGCTTTCCTCTGCCTTCGTGTGTGACGGGAAACCGAAAACTAAGCCTATTTCCTCCATTCTTAATCCGTTTCAATCTTCCTCATTTGTGTAGCTTGTGCGCTGCTCAAAGCCTTCCTCCACACCATCATCCCAGAAAGGGCCGCATACCACTCACACACGGCCGCGGCATCTCTTTTCGAGCTGAGCACACAACCCGCGGGGAAGATAGGACGACGCGCACTGCCACACCGCTCCTGCACTCGCCCCGACCTGCGCCCTGCTCTACCTGCGCCTCCAGCGCACTGCTGCGACAACACGCCCATTGGACACCTCTTTCTTTTTCAAGGATGAGAGGCGGCCTCAGTGAGACCTTTATCCGCGAATACAGCGATCGCATTGCACAACGGGTGCTGCTTCTATGAGGCCCGATGCCTCGGCTTCCAGGGTGACCGAAAAGCGCATGTGGCAGGGGAAGCTCGGCAGGAGTGACGAATGCGAGAGAGGCTTAGAAGCAGCAGTGCGCTCAGGGCTTGATGAACTAGAATTGGCTTTTATGTGAAAGAAAAGTAGGACACTCGAAGACAGAGGCGGAAGACTTCAATGTTCACAAAGTAGGGAACCTGCAGGTAATTCACTTTTATTAGAAGGATATATATTATGAAGACTACAATACAAAAGGAGTTGAGCAACAATAAGAAGTCAAAACCGTCATGAAAAAGCCACTTCCATCTCCACCAATTCTGGCTTACCACCTACAGACAATCACCTGAATGCACACGCTTACAGCTCTGACAAATATACGCTCTTATGTTACTCGGCCCCTTTGTTAGGTTATGTACTACGCAATTTTTTTTAAATAATCACTGGAGAGTAACAAGGGCTCCCAGTCCTGGCCATTTGCCTGTCAATCAAAAAGGATACATTCTGTTTGGAAAAAGAAACACAACGCTGTGGATGTGTGTCTATTTAAAAGAAAATTCCAAGGGGCCTGCATGGTAGCCCAGACTAAAGCGATTGACCGCAGATCAGAGAGCTGTCCAGAGCTGTAATTCGTGAAAGCCAGGAAAGATTTGCCAGATCAACAAAAATGACCTCATCGCTGCCTAAACCGTGCAGTTAAACTAAAAGTGAGTGACATCATTTAAGATGGACCAGAGGGAAGGCTCTTCTTCACAAGAGTCTCTGTTGATGCCTAAAAGACAGGAGGCTAAGCCCTCCAAGGCAAAAAAGACGAAGTGGAAAAAAAGTGATGAAACGCTCCTCGGCATCAATTTAATTATGTCTGAACAGCTCTTCTGATATCCGGCGTCGTACTCTGCTCAAATGAAAGGCAGTTTTTAGTGTAAGACGTACATCTTAAATAGATTATGTAATAAGTCAATTAATAATCTGTCTCTGTTTTTATCCGTACTCCAGTTCAGCCCAGGCCATCCGGTCCCGTGTCCCAGACGCATCCGGCTATCGGCGCCTCCCGTGGCCTTTGGAGATAAACTACAAACGCGCATCGAGTCCAGAATAGGTCAGGCATCAAGCCGTCTGCAGGGCCCCCTCCCATACACCCAGATCACCTGTATTCATCATTGCCTCCATCGTACTCGTCCCGCACGCCTTCTTCGCAACATTGCTCATGGCCCCTGACCGGTGTTTCCTTTTTGATGTTGTGTGATTGGATTTGTAGAGGCCTTTCATCCTCTTGAGTCTTCGACGCCGAACTGGAGGTGCTTTTTTCTATATTCTCAGCAATGTTTTGAACGTGCACAAAGTTATGGTACCAGAGATAGAATACATACAGATATTTTAACTGCAAACACACCGTAACATATTTAAGCATCTCAAAAAGGACTCTGATGTCCTCTTGTGTTTTTGTGCGCAGCCGCAGCAGTGGAGGCAGGCAGTAATTGCCCTTCATGATAGTCCTCTGCAGTAACAAAGACTATGTGAATAAGTTGTTTCTATCCTAGAGCTCCTACTCTGCAGTAGCTGTCCTGTGTGTGTAGTTTAATTAAAGAGTGGCACAGTTTGAAAGTGCTTCTCCTTTCCTTTAGTGCCATGCCATATCATCTTCTGTTTTAAAATTAGCAGCAGCACGGTAGACTTCCGTGTGGCAGTAACATTATATGGCTGTGCGTACCCCAAAGCAAATGTACTTTGAGTTTGACCCCAGTTCTCATCTTTCTTCTGCATTCTCAGCAAGTTAGTTTTGTGAAGTTGTTTGATGTGCTTTCACCAGCCACCTTTAATGTTCCTTCTTTCCTGCCTTACTTTCTCCTGGTTCCATTTCATCCTCATGAATTATTCTGCGCTTTTGCCTGCAAACACTTCCATCCACATCCTTCTTTTATTTCCATTGACTTTGAACTCTAAACCCCTTTCTTCTCTTGCATTACCCCGTCTCCTTTCTGTTATTGTTATCCCCTCCTCATTGTGCGTCCTCTTCCTCCCGTCCCCAGGTGTAGCAGCCAGCTCTTTATTCACCTCAGGGAAGTACGCCATCGACCCAGAGCTGAGAGGGGCGGAGTTTGAGCGCATCACCCAGAACCTGGACGTCCATTTCTGGAAGAGCTTCTGGAACATTACTGAGACCGAAGTCCTGTCGGTGAGTGGACTGATAATGCTTCTTTACACACGCACGCACGCACGCACGCACGCACGCGCGCACACGCTTCAGGGGACATTACATTGACTTACATGCATTTCCTGGAGACTTGTCCTAACCTTAACCATAACCAACACATGACTAACCCTAACCAAGTCTTCACCCTAAAATGAATGATTCCCTCCAATATGTCCCCATAAGGGATGCGAGTCCCCACACGTGACTGTGTAAACAGATTTAGGTCCCCACAAGGATAGTAATGCTAAGACACACACACCCACACACACACTCTCTCCATCTGTAATCTACCCATGTTGTCCCTAACTCATGCACACAGAAAAGCGCATTGCCCTGTTTTTAATTTAAAAACTCTCTCAGGAATATTTTACTTTCCTCCAGTAGTAGTACCCTTCCATCGTTATGCATTTGGCCTATAGGCTGTTAGTAATAACAGAGTGGAATTCAATTTATTCAATTGGGTTCATGATTTATTCATGCAGTTATTCTGTCTCTCCATTGACCCCACTCGCTCTGTAACTTGCACTCCACTCTTTCTGTCTCTATTTTAACACGGATATCTTTCTTATTTTTTCTTCTTCTTCATCTTCTCTCTTCCTCCAGAGACTTGCCAGTATGACATCCACTCAAGTTAAGGTGAACCGGGCTCTCTCTGTGCCCCCCGTGCCCTTTGACCTCCCTCTGGCGGCCAACCAAGGAGCCTCTGTAACCATAGCTCCTCCGTCGGCGCACATCGGCAGCGCTCCAATTCAGATGAGGCTCATCTCCTATGACTTGCGTGAAGGACAGGTAAGTCATTCATTATTCCACTCACACTTTAGTGGCAGAGTTGAAAAAGCAATAAAAAGAACTTCATATTGTCACATCTTATGCAAAACCAGACTATCTCAGTCTTTGCTGTGCACTTAAACTACTTCCTGGTTGGCTGTCTTAGTGTTAGGTATTTGTTGCATGACCTAGTTTGTGACAGTTTTCCTCCACTGGCTCTTTTTAAACCACTTTGCATTTACCAGTCATGCAAATAGAAATATTCTAACGATATGTAAAAGCATATCTGGTATTTATTTCTCCGCCCAGGAGTAAACGACAGCCTGACTCATCCTCATGAACTTAATCCCCTTCATTATCTCTCTCTCTATATATTTTTCTGTCACAGGATTCACACTCACTTCTTTCCCTCCCTTATTTATTCTCTCAGGAGACTCCCTCTCTCCCTCAAAGCTTGCACTCATTTTGTTGTAACTATATATGCTATCAACACTCTAGAGAAAGGCGAAGTCCCTCCCTTTCCGGGGGGGCTCAATGGGACCTTATTTCGGAAAAAGTATGTATTGAAGTCAACGGAGAGAGAAAGATTATCTTTTGATCCCGTTTGAATTGTGCCACGAATTACACACATGATGTTTGTCAATTTAAAAGATAATTTTGCAAGTCAAAACCGCTCAATGAACTACATCTCCCATCTCGCACCACACACCAAGACTGCCGTCACGTTGGAACATTTCACTTCTTTCTTTCAGAATGAGAGGGAAAGTATTAAAAGAGGTGAAAATCACTCCAAGTCTGGGCACGTTGAGAGCTGTACGTACACACAAGGGAGTTTAGTCGGTTCCGGAGAATACATCAGTTATGACAGCACTTACGCGACTCTGGGATTTGTAGTCTTTCTAGTTGCGTATTTTTAATAGTCTTATATTTCAACAGTTTTAAGACAAACTGTGACTTTTTTGACATGGAAATTATTTTTTAAGATTGACAAACATCATATGTGTAATTTGTGGCACAATTCAAACGGGTTGACTTCAATACATGCTTTTTCCAAAATAAGGTCCCATGGGTCGGAAGTAGAAGGGCGGGACTTCGCCTCTCTATTCCCAGCATTGATCAAACCACAACAACAAAAAAGTTTCCTTTTTTAAAGTTTCAAATTACAAGTGTGCATCGATGGAAACCCTCCCTCGCTCCCTGCCACATTTCCTTTGCCTCCTTGTTTCCGTTAATGAATGGGAATTAGTGTGCGTTCATGCAGGCACAGGAGAGGCTGGCAGAAAGCTGCTGCAGCACAGCAGTTAGTCCTCCTCTCCAAGGAGCCCTGTTGCTCACACCAGCAATGCTTTTTGTTACCAATGAAAACAAGGCTTTGTTTCCAGTATACAATACACACATAATGTGGACGGTTATCAGTGAGGCCACGGTCATGTGAAGTTCTTTATTCTTTTTAGTGATTTATTTCTCTCCTTTTGTTGATTCCTTCCTCACCTCTCTCTCCAGGACAGCGAGGCTCTGCTGTCTCTCGCCCGTTCTGAGGGGGGCGCCATCTCTCTGTCGCTGGGGAAGACCAAGCGCCTCCCCCCGTCTTCCAGCATCCTGATCCACTTCCACGGAGGAGGATTTGTGGCCCAGACCTCCAAATCCCACGAGGTGAGATGCTGCTCTGCAACTCTCTCTAAACCTTCATCGATCCGTGTAGGGGAAACATAGGTGTTAGAGCGGCACGAACAAGATTGAAAACGGGATAAGAGAGTTAAGAGTTCACACACAGATGACAAGAATAAAGAAAAGGGAAAGTGTGGCGCAGTGGATAGAGCCTTGGTGTTGGGATAAGGGGGTCACAGGTTCAAACCCCACTGCAGTCAGCATGTCGTTGTGTCCCTGAGACACTTCACCCCAAATTGCTCCTGTGGGGATTGTCCACTGTATTGAGTATGGAAGTCTTACCTAAAAAGCAATATGATTAGTTTCATTTTTCAAGGAAAACTGAATACAAAAGATGTTTCACATAATTATATGTTGCTGTAGTTTGACTCACATCTGACCTATGATGATGTTTATAACACAACAGTAATGCAGGGAACAGTGGTACATGTGTGATTTGGCACCCACAGATACAGATGCTGACACCACTTCACCTCTATCATTTGAAACACCCGGCATTTCCACAGTGCTCCTCCAGTTCACTTTCTCATCCCTTCATCGCTTCACTGTCTCGCTCTGTTTTCTCCAACTAATTGAAATTGAACCCCATCTAATTAAAGTGTTGAGACGGGCGCTAGTTGACAGCAGGGGAGCCGAGGAGTTAGCAGGCTGATTCTCCTCCTGTCAACATTGTGACATTTAATGAGCTGTTAAGCTAATTCATTTGTAAATAATGGCTGAAAACGCAGGAATATAGTTTTATAAATGGAGATGCTAAGCCACAGAAGGTGCACACACACACTCTCCCCTCTAGATCTACTTTAAAGATCACACAAACACACTTATAAGTTGTCTTAAACAATCGGTACCACTTTACAATAAGACGTCCTTTATGAAGGATTTTGAATGAGGTTGTAAACACTTTATTAATTAGACCCTCCAGAAAAACGCGGGCAAAGATCCTTGATTATGCGATTAAACATGCGGGGTGTTTATGTGATTTTATGAGGTGAAATTATGGGAAGTTGTGAAAAAGAATAGATTTTTTTTCTTATTTATTCTCTCTCACACACAACCTGCCACTAACGTTAAACTCCTTTCCTATTCAATTAAACACATTCAATGTTTATTTATTGTAAAAGCAATTGGGCTATTTTAATCACTCTCTCTCTCTCTCTCTCTCACACACACACACACACACACACACACACACACACACACACACACACACACACACACACACACACACACACACACACACACACACACACACACACACACACTTCTCCGCCTCATTCTGTTTTCATTTACTCGTTCGTTATCTGACCAGCTTCAATCTTGTAGGCTACTCACTTCGTTTCTTGTAGCCCTC